TCGCGAAAACTTGGTATCGTCCGAAGCAAGTGACTGTAATGAAAAAAAAGTGTAAAATATTTTATGATGAGTTTGCCCCATAACTTTGACCAACTCTCAAACTTGGAGAAATTGAAGATATTACGGAAAAAGGTTAATTGGGAGGTCGTAGAAGAGCGAATCGAGTTTCTCAAAAAAATTTGTCCTTTACTCAATGATTGGAGGGGCCAACTTCCTGATCTGCGGTATATTTTTCATCCCCGAGAAATTGAGCGTCTTCTCTTTGATTCCGTTACGGTCGCGCCAATGAACGTGGAAAGAGATTTCATCGAGTTCGTGGGTCGCACCGGCTACATGCATCCAACCATCGTCGACGAAGACGGCAGGCCATCGTCGCGTCGCACCACACCGGTGCATTATTTCACCGTAGCAGCACCCGCAACGATCGTCCGCAATCTGTTGATAATGTACGGCAGGTTCGGTGTGAATTACCAGGACGATTCGGGCGTCACGCACTTGCACGTGGCCTGCATGGCCCGAGACTGTACGGACTTCGTCGAGAAGTTTCTCGAGCTCGGTCAGGATCCGAATCTCGTCGTGGAAGAAACGGGTGATTCGCCGCTGCACTTCGCCGCGAGGGGCCTCAACGCGTTCGTAGTCGAATTGTTGCTGAGAAGAGGTGGCGATCCGAACTTGGCCAACAAGGATGGATCGACGCCTCTGCATATTATGGGCAAGAAATTCGGCTCGGCTGAAGTAATCGAGATGTTATTCAAGATCAGCGCCGAGAAACATCAGCGGTTGCGGGTCGACGCTCAAGACCGCTTGGGTAACACGCCGTTGCACTTTGCGATTCGAGACATGCGCGACTTCGGTGGCACGAAGGTGGTCGAAACGCTGCTGAGAAGAGGTGCCAGTCCGAATATCGCTAATGCAGAGGGATCGACCACTTTGCACTTGATTTGCCAGAAAAATCCTAAATTTTTTATGACTAATATGGTAACAAGCGAAGATGACATTGCGGAGCAGTACTTAAAAATGATCGATGCTCACCATCAAACTTGCCAAGTCAATGTTCGGGACAACTTGGGCTGGACACCGCTGCGATTCGCTGTGGCGAATCTCTTGCCGAGCACAGTCGATGTACTCTTGGATCGTGGCGCTGATCTGTCCAACTTCGTTTTTCCCGGCGAGAGTTACGTTGGCGAGCAATTGAAAGGGAGGAAAGATGAATTTTGGTTTAAATTCAGACTAGCGTCTGGAGCTCTGGCGGTCGTCGAGCGCCTGGAAAATAGAGGATACGAATTGGACCGAAGCGACGCACAGACGATAATGAAATTTTTCGCGAAGCACGAATTGTTCGACAAGTCCGTGGATCTGGAACAGTGTTGGTACGACGACGAGGTGTTCGTGAGAAGAGCGAAACAATGGAAGATACGTCCGAATCTGTCGTTCTACGACTTGGTCCAGTTACCACCCAAAGAGGCGGCAAAACAATTCACGTGCGCGGATTACTTCAAGATTTGGTGTGAGGATAAATTTTACAAGCTACGAAATAAGGAGGATTGCGAGTTGTATCTGTGCGAGAAACTATCGAGACGATTTTTCCGACGATGGGCATTGGAACCGTTCATGGAGCTGATACACTATCGACTGCCGATTCTTTGCTGTGATATGATCGTCGAGGAGCTGTCGAACGAAGATTTGTATAATATTTGCGTGGCGGCTACAGGCCAAAAGTCGTGATGACTATAAATGTTTAAAACATTTTTTTATGTATACAGAGTTATTAAACGTTGAATATTTTTTATATCATCCCAATAAATCAATTTAAAAATGAGTTTCGATTTGTTAATTGACAAATAAATATTTAAGTCGTTTGGCTTTTTCTCCCTTTTTTATATACAATGCTATTGCAAAACTCTTGGTGCTTGGACTAATAGTTACGTAAATATTAATAGCTCTCTTAATGATTTGCAGAGCTAATTCAAAGTGCTGGTAATCTTTTGACGTACACTTGCACTCAGTGCCCGAGTAAAAAAAAGTCTGGAAGAGTCTTCATATAGTCCGATACATAGTCATATCATACAAGTCTATCCAAAATCTGACCTAAGTCTCGCTTTAGCGGTTTTGCGAGACTTCGAAAAATTCGATTTTTGAGAAACCAGACTATATCTAGACTTTTTCTCAGTCTTTTTCCCACACGAAAATGATTTTGAATATTTTGAAGAGTTTGTTAAACTCGCATTACGACTTTTTAAAAAAAACGTTTTTAAAAGTCTGATAAATTCACCAGCTGCATACACATGGGCTGCCTGATTACAAACACAATCATCTTTTGGAATTGTCTTTTATTTTCTCGTCCCTTGGTCCATTTCTCTCTGCATTAATAATAAAAAGAAAAGTCAGAAAATACCAGCACAAGCATCGATGTTTCACGTATGGTGCATCATCAATGAGTGCTTACTCTTAAAATCGTTCCTTCTCATTGAGTTAAGTAATCAGAGTAGTTTTAACGCACCAGATGTGAAACATCGATGCTTGTGCTGATATTTCTGACTTTTCTTTTTCTTGATTTTCCAGTTTTTAGTTTTATTTTTTTCAACTTTTTTTTGTTTGATTCGTGTGTTTTTTGTTGTTTTCAGTCTACTTGTTTGATTTTAGATTTCTAGTTTTTTATAAACAATTTTGTTTTGATTTTCTACTTTCTAGTTTGTTTTTAATTTTTTACTTATTTATTTTTTACTTATTTGTTTTATCCATTTTCATATTTTTTTCAATTCTTTAATTTTAATTAATTGATAAAGATGTTTCACACCTTGCAGCTGCTCATAAACAGATGATTTTTTTTAAACTGTTTTTTTTTTACTTTTTTCAATTTACAATTTATTTTTAATTTGGATTTTTTATTGGACACCACGCGTTCAAAGAATGATTTGAAAAAACGACAAAAAATGAAATGTTTTTAATATTTTTGAGACATAAAAGAAAGCATAATACCTGCAATCGCCAAGTATCGGTGGACAACTTGATTGAACTTTAAGAGAACTTTTTAATATTCGTTCAATTTTAAACAAAATGGTGAATTTTGTACTGTAACATTTCAAAGACCAGCAATGGCTTAAAATTGATTGGAAAATACTTTCATATTTTTTCAATAGTTTTGAAAGAAGGTTTTGATAGCTCGATTTGTTTTAGATTAGGTAACCACCAAATTGGGCACCAAATGTTGATTGCGATTGTTGCAATCAACGGAAACAGCCATATGTCATTCTACATACAAAATCTTGTAAGTCTGAGATTAGGTTTGGAAAGAGCTTGAAATGCTACATGTACGAAAATTGGATGAAAATTCTACAATAGCAATAATCACATTGAAAATCGATACAAAAATCGAGATGTTTGGCCGTTAATGGATTAAAATCAATAATACGATTTATCATTTGCAGGAAAAAAATACTGTTTGATTCAATAAAGGATAGAAGAAATATATTCAATTTTGATGCTTTGACCATTCCCGGATCAAATGTAAAGATAAGAGTTAAGGTGCGTATAATAAGTATAAATAATATAGAATTTATAGCGAATGAAATGGAGTCTTTTCTAGTTCTTAGAACAATTTGTTGATGTATTTTTCTTCTACTTTCTTAGTTCTATTTAATTCATATACTTCATAAATTCATCCGCGTGAATTACATTTTCGCTTTGTGCCACCTAGCGGCGACACGTCTACTACTTCACATACATCAGTATGTATCCGTTACACTCGGTTAATGCAGTTAAATTGTTTCTGTACGAGGAGAGAATTAGTGTTTATGTGAATGAATCTATTTTAGTCCAGTGAGTTGTCAAAATAGGCATAAAATTATGCAGTACTCAACGCGCGTCGTATTCTAGAGATCGCTTTATCAAATCATTTTTTCCAATGAAAGATCGAAAAAAAATAGTATATCGCACTTTAGCGCAGTTGATGAAACAATTATGCATAAAAGAAGTATTACTTAATGTTCACGAGAACCTTATGATGTATGAGAGCGATGAAAGATGTTTACAGAATTAAAGAACAGAAATAAACAGCATTAGAAAAACTAAATAGTTACGCTGCGCAAGAAATGCAATATAGAGTATAGAGAGAAAAAAAATAAAAGACTGATTATATTAATTACTTGTATAAACATGTAATCTATAAGTATTAAGCTTCGATAGTCCAAAGTTAAAGTTTGAAAAGATGAAAAATAATTTTTAATTTAAAAAAAAATAGAGAATACAAAAAATTGTAAAATATATATACAAACTCAGAATTTTAGTTGTCCATTCTTGAATAAAGAAAAAAGTACGAACAATTTTTGTGTGAGAATTAGTCAATCTTTTTCATGTATTGTTCGTGCAAATGATAGCATATTTATTGAAATGCACAAATACGTAAACTTTAGATATTAAGCATTTAAAGATTATTTTTTGTACTATGCTTCTATTACCTAATTGTCCATAGAAATATATGACACTTTGTAAATACACCTAAAATGTAAACATTGTTTTTTATTATCCTAATTATGAGATAATTTTCAGAGTGCCTAGCTATGTACGACCTCGTGTAACGAATGTTCGCGCGACCCGGGAACGATGAAAGAAGAGAGAGCATTCGGCAGGGTCTCAATAAGTACGAGCGCACTCGTGCTGCACGTGAATTTCTATTGGTACGTATGCACCTACATATGGATGCAAAAGGATTCGGCTTCCATACAATGTAATAAGGGCCGGCCGTATTTAAAACGTGTGCAGCGATAATAATAATACTTAGTACTTACAGGCTGGCAATAGGCTGGAGCCCCTGATTCGCTGAGTTTATACGTTTTACGCTCGTGCAACCGAATCATTTAAAAAATTAATATATATAGTGTACTACGTACGGCGCAGCTGCGAATTCGGAGTCTCGCTGCACGAGCCACGAGTGTAGTGGTTGCCTCGCGTCGCGGCGTCTTCTTGCGGGCGCAGCAGTTTATTTATTCGCGCACACGTCGCGCACTCAGTCGAGCATTGGCAGGCGCTTTTGCACGAGCGTACTGTGTTGTGCGTGCAGCAGCGGTGCGAAGCCCCAGAGCCAGCTCAAATCTCAATATATATACACACACGACACACAGCGTGTGGTGTGTTGAGAGCCGCCTCATCTCTGCCTTAATTTTCGCCTGAATTGTGCATTATCGAATGATAATCGTTGACACACCGCGTAGAAAATCAGCGTTTAGATTATATATATACGCCAGTGCCTTAGGCTCGAGCAAATACATACCGTGTATGTAACAAAACAAAGGGCCTCCACGTCACTTGCATTCGGTTCGTACGTGCGTGTGTACAGCTGAAAAGGAAGTTTGAGTGCAGCGATCATTGTGGACAACTGTGCTGCCGCTGCTGCTGTGTATTTTGCGACGTTGACGACGCTTCGCTGCTGCTGCTGCTGTGTATTATATATATAAAATATATATAGCATACATATCGTGTATAGGCGCAGAGTTGGTGTATTAGTGCAAAAGTGTGTGCAGAGACGGAGAGCGCGAGTGAGAGTACAGCACGCATATTACAACGGTGCTTGCTTATATATTTCGACCGACTGTCTGTCCGTCCGTCTGTCTATCTGTCGTGGTGGTGTGTGTACACAAAATACACACACACACACATAGGTTGACAACGACGCGAGGGAAGAAGAGAGTGCAGAATAAGTGAGAAAAAAAAATTCGACTCCGAAGCGAGATAGTTGGCGAATTGTAATCGCTTCGTATTAAAACATATAAAAATTGTGTAGCACGGGGCAACGGTCGTGGTGCGCCTGCCGTGTGTGTACATACATTATTATACAGTTTGTCTGGAACTCCGAGATACTGCTCGACTGCTACTTTTTCATCTGGTGAGTATCTGTGCTTCGAGTGTCAGCGACGATACAGGAGAATACAAGTCAATCGTGAAAACCCACGTGAAATCGATTGTTCGATCGTGTAATACGCGGACGTATACTCGTACATAATATCGATTCTCCGCCCGACGTTTCTGCGACATTATTTTGCATCTTCTCTCGGTGAATGTGTGTTTACCTACCTATAAGCATAAAATATTCAAAACCAGTTTCATGCCTTTTTTCCTTTATTTCTTCTGTTCTCTCTCTCTCTCTCTGCACTCGCGTACTTACCGAGTATGTGTTGCTCGCTATAACTCTTGCTTATGCGCTCGGTGCATTTTTTTTTCTTCTTACGAGTGAAGTGTGGAAGAGAGAGAGAGAGAGAGAGACACACACACGGACATTTATAAGAGCGAGTGAGAGGGAGCGTGAGTGCGTTATATTCTCTGTTGATCGAACGAAGTGAATTAAACAGCGACTGTACAGACCCACACACGCACAGCAAATACGCGTACATGTAGGCGCACACGTTAAATTATCTCCGGTTACTTGCATTTTAACTCTATATATGCGCGATGTGCAGTCTAGCGGTATCCTACATAGGCGACAAATGACTTTGTCGTATTCCTCCCGGCGTAACATAGAATTCTCTTCATCCCAAATCCTACTGCGTGTAAAAAAACTACTACTATGCGTGTGCGGCTGCTATATAAATTATTATCACCGCGCAATGATGTCGTGCTCTCGTGCGCTACATATAATTTTGCTGAAAAAAAATATTTCTGCCCACTCATCGTCGTCGATTTTATTTTATTTTTATTTTTTTGCTCTTCAGCCGCTGCGATCGCACCGCTCGAACTCTAATATATCTCACGATTCGCAAATAATTCAAGAGTTTAAATGTAAAATAATTGTTATCGACCAGACGCGGCGGCGGAGCGCGCGGCAGGCACGGCATAAATAATCGAGTCTTGATTGATAAGCGATTTGTTGCTGCTGCTGGCGTTGACGTGCGCATTTTTTCTCTCTCTCTTTCTCTCTCCGCGTTTGCAGTAGATATACAAAGAAGAGTCGAACAAAAGTTTTGCTACGTACAGGCGCGTACTTACTTTTCTTCGACAAAAAGAGATGCTCTCGAGAAATTACAATATTCGGAGTGATAATTTTTTTTTGCTGCGTCTGAGCGCGTCGATTTTTATCAATGCGACAATATTTCTTTTATAAAGCGAAATACATGAGTATTAACGCCAGGAGAGATCCAAGGTGAGCAGGTCGTCGTCTTCGTCGTCGGATCGCACGAAAGATTCGATTGCGATGAACAAGAAGAAAAAAAGGCAGTCACGCGAGGATTAAATAGTAGAGAAAAAAAAATAATAATGGCTAGTCACTTTTATACGGTATGAACGATAAAATCGATGTTAATTTTACGGATAAAATGCGAGCGTTACGAGAAACAAAAAATGTACTATTTTTGTACTCAAAAACTCGATGTATCTATGTGAAAATATAGTTCAAAGTGCGTCAATAGCTTCAAAAATCGTACATCCGATGCGAGAAACACGCACACGTATAACTGTATCAGAATTGACACGCTAAGGTTCAATTTGAAAATTGTCAAATAGTTGAGAATTGCTCTTGGTCACGATCAATTTCGTGTATAAAAACTCGTTCACGTCGATCGCTCGCGAGAAAAACACATCAAACATCCATCAACAATTTTTGTTATTATAGTTTTTTTGTTCTCGATCGAACTAACAAAATTTTCTCATTTGTCTTCAGCTCTTAAATCTTATCAAGCATGGCTCTCATGAGGATGACCTTGTCCGCCTTGGCGCGGACGCGATTCGGCGCCCAAGCCATCAGGCCGAAATTTTCAGCCAAACCCAAGCCGAGGGATAACATGGTGAGTCGAGAGTCTAATGCAGTCTAATGACTTTCCCACGCGTTCAATTATTCGATAATCAAGCTCTCGATGTACTCCATTATTCACGAGCTCTAATCGCACCGCTAATTATTTCTACAGGTATTCGGCTTCGTCGCCTGCAACTTCCTCAGCACCCACCGTCTGACGAAGAACATCGAGCTGCTGACGGACGACGTCAGTCAGCCCGCCATCATCAAGCCCGAGACGAAGAAGATCATCAATCCGCGCGAGAGCAACGCCGACAATCGGCCGCTCCTCGTCCTGCTCTGCTGGCTGCTGTCCAAGCGCAATCACATCATGAAGTTCGTCAACTTCTACATGGAGCAGGGCTTCGACGTCGTCACCGTGAGCATGACCCCGTGGCAGCTCATGTGGCCCGTCAAGGGCTCGCGCATCATCGCCCTCGACCTGCTCGAGTTCCTCGAGCAGAACAAGCACTACGAGCAGATCTTTCTGCACGGCTTCTCCGTGGGCGGCTACATGTGGGGCGAGGTGATGGACTTCGTGCACAAGGACCGCAAGAAGTACGACGACGTGGTGAATCGCGTGGTGGGCCACGTCTGGGACAGCGCGGCCGACATCAGCGAGCTCACCATCGGCACGCCCAGGGCCGTTTTCCCCAACAACGAGGTGCTCCAGAACGCCATGAAGAAGTATCTCGAGTCGGTGTCGTCGTGTCTCTTTCTCTTTGAAAATATCGCATTCTCCGTCCGTATGCGTACTCGAGCTAATCGTTGAACGTTTTGCAGATACCACATGAAAGCTTTCCACAAACAAGCCACACAGTACTGGATCAGGTCCAGTCAGCTCTTCCACTTGAATCTGGTCAGATCGCCGGCCCTGTTCATCGTCAGCGACACCGATCCGGTGGGCTCGCTCGAGAGCAACATGAGAGTCAAAGAGTCCTGGGACTCTCTCGGAACCAAAGTACGTTTTCGCGTCTTTACAAATAAATATTATAGAGCGAAGCTGTATCGATTGTTTTCCCTATTTTTCTTTCGCAGACCTACATGAAGATATTCCGCAACACTCCGCACGTCGGACACTTCCGAGCGCATCCGAAGGAGTACGTGGCCGAGCTCTACACGTTTTTGGACAGACTACAGCTGATCAGGAACGAGGAGAAGATTCGCGCGCGGCTTTAATACGACAACGAGAACGACGATAATGATGATAATGATAAAAGTTAAAACATTGATATGTCTATTGCCATTTATTGTCGAGTAGCTTTTGTTATTGTTTATTTAGAATCTGGGAAAAAAAGAACGAAAAATCCATTGTTTAATTGATTTGTTATTTTTATGAATCGTACTAACCGTACTGCTTTTTTTTATTTTTTTTTTATTTTTTATCAAAATATCTTATGTAAATCGATATCGTTTGTTCGTATCTACAGCGTGTATTTACGAACGATGGGTTTCCTTGTGATCGTATTTTATTTCTATTTATTTTGATTTATTTCCATTAAGATTGGCCGTCATCTTTTCTTTTTTATAACTCATACGATATTTTTTGTAATTAATTTTATCATGTACTAATCAAGCTTAAAAATTGTACAAAACAAATATCTGTCGATAAATATAACGTGAAGTAAAAATTTTTCATTCACTTCACTCTTCTATTTTCTACAATGCAAATTAGACATTAAACGAACACTATTGTCTGTGTTATTAGAACTTATACATATATATTATCCACGATGAGAATTAAATTTTGTACTTTTTTCTGAATTAAACATTTATAGAGAATTTAAAAGCTATACTTATTTATTTGCTTTGTGTCAATATCTATTCTCAATCTTTTTGATTCAATACTCAAATAAATGAAAAATTTCAATTGAAAAAATTGAGAAATATTTATTTATTTTAACTAATAACATTTGTGTAGGTAATTCAATACCTTAAAATTATGTGTATAAAATATATGTACAACAATTTGCTATAGATTATTTACAAAATCTATTTATTGGGCTTGAATCAAGCTTCCTATTTTTTAGTTTTTGATTTGTTTTTTTCTACTTTTTTTATCATCTTTTTGCTAACTTTTTTTTCCGCGATCGACTTTTTTCTTTTATTGATCATTTTTTTCTCATTAACATCAGTCTCGTCTAGTTCCATTTCAGCTTCATCTTTTTTGCTATCTTTTTTTTCTTTATTTTGTTTTTTCTTCTTTGACAAAATTTCGTCGGCTTCTTCTGGATCTAATCCATCCTCAATCAACTTTTTCCTTTTATTGATCATTTTTTTCTCGTCAAAATCAGTCTGGTCTAGTTGTGCTTCAGCTTCTCTTTTTGTTGCTGAGACTTCAGTAAAAATTTGAACAATCTCTTTATCTGCAAAATAAATTGAAAAATATTATAGAAATAACTGAAATATTACTCTCAAATATTAATGATAGGGTTTATATTACTCACCGCTAACTTCATAGTTTGTGAGTTTAGTACCAACTAATTCTTCAATGGCATGAAGTAATTTTATATCTTGAGGCGTAACCAAACTGATAGCCATACCATTTCTTCCAGCACGAGCTGTTCTACCAACTCTATGAATGTACTCTTTAGGTATATTGGGTATATTATGGTTGATTACTAATGAAACAATTGGAATATCTAAACCTCTTGCAGCTACATCTGTAGCTATTAAAATCTTGACCTGTTTAGATTTGAATTTTTGAAGAGATGTCAAGCGGTCCTTTTGCTTGATCATAGCGTGAAGAGCAACATTTTCAAAACCAACTTCGTTCATGGTCATAGATATTAATTGGCAATTTCTAAAATTTTAAATCCTTTATTAGAATACATGCTAAACATTATTATGAATTTAATAATTCTTATTATAAAATTTTGCTTACTTGCATGTATCCGTAAATATCATAATCGATCCAGTTGCATTGTCATATCTAAAAGTTCTAATAACTTCTACCAAATATGCATCACGTACATTATAGGGGCAAAGTACATATCTTTGATCTAATTCTTTTACTGTTGCCAAACCACTATCGTCAGTGGATTCCCACATAAACACTTCTTTTGATGAAACTTGTTTTACTTTATCCAGTGCATCCGTGATAGTAGCACTGAAGAGTAGTGACTGTCGTTCTTTAGGAATAGCTTTAAATATGATGCTCATTTGTGCATCATAATTACCACCCAGTAATCTATCTGCTTCATCAAGAACTAGAAACTTTATTCGTTGCAATGAAAATGTATCACAACTTTGCAAGTGATCTGCCAAACGACCTGGTGTAGCAACAACAATGTGAGGTCTTCTTGAAAGTTCTTGGCCCTGATACATCATGTCCAGTCCACCAACTACTGTACATTTTCTCAAATTAATGGATTTTCCAATGACAGCAAACTGATCAGAAATCTAAAAGTATTCATTGAGAGGTTAAAAAAAGTCTTCTTAAAAGATTAATGAAAGTAAACGATCAACACTATTTTACCTGAAAGGCCAATTCTCTTGTAGGTGTCAATATAAGAGCAAAAATTCCATAAGGGTCCTCGGATAGTTTTTGGACTATTGGCAATGCAAAAGCCAGGGTTTTACCGCTACCAGTTTTAGCTGCACCAATGACATCCTTGCCAGCCATGATGGCAGGAATGCAATTCTCCTGAATGGGAGTTGGCTCTTTAATACCTGCGAGACAATAATTATTTGTGGATTTAGTAAGCAGTTTACGATTATTTACTATCTGATGCAGCTGCATAACCAAATTCAGCACTTGACAAAAATGAAGAAAATATAGAAATATAAAGTGGAAAAAGACTCACCGACTGATTTCAATTGCTCAATGAGCCAAGGGCTGATTTTCAGATCTTTAAAAGTCGTCATTTTATGGCGTTAAAAAAGCTGGAAAACTTTTGTCGGTATTATTTTTGTTTATGTCACAATTCACGATTCTCAGCGACAGCACGTGCTCGGCCGACGACAAACACTTCTGATACTACTCGCAGGCGGCAGAGAAATGCTAGTAAGTTAGGTGCTGGCGCCGTCATGCGCTCTGGCGGCGAAGTGGAGAACTTACAACTGTCACTTGTCTAGCAGCGGACGTAAATACAAAATTTGAATCAATTTTAGGGTTTCAACGTTTTATTGACTTACAATTAATAAAAAGCTTTATTTTTCTTAAAAAATTTATTGATTTTTTTAAACTTGAACATTTTTTTCACTTGATTATATAAGATCGGAAAAACTTACATTACTATCATGGTAAATTAAAATTTTTAAATTTGTCTTCTGAACGTGTAGGCTAAATTTTTATCTCTTTATTAAGTTGTAATGCGCGATTGATGCACCAACTCGATGTGGAGTTTTAGATAACTCTTCTTCGACAATTTCTTTCCGCAAATATAACACGCGTGTGTAACGCCCATGTGCTTCACTTTTATGTGTTTACTAAGACTACCCTTTTGTGTGAATGTGCTTCCGCATTTATCGCACGTATGCTTGGTACCGCGATGTACCGAATCGATATGGAGTTTGAGACAATTCTTCGACGAAAGCATCTTTCCGCAAATACCACATGCAACACGCGCGATACCATTGTGCGTTGAATCGATGTGTTTTTTTAGATAAAATTTTCGTGAAAATGTCTTTCTGCAAATACCACATTTATGCCTGTTACCGCCATGCATCCTAGCGATGTGGACTTTGAGAGAAGCTTTCTGCGTAAATGTCTTTTGGCATGTATCGCATGCATGCCTGACACCATTGTGCGCCGAATCGATGTGTACTTTCAGATAGTGTTTTTGTGAAAATGACTTTTTGCATATTTCACACGCATAAGCGACACCATTATGACACGTATCGATGTGGGTTTTCAGAGTACACTTATGTTTGAATGTCTTTCCGCATACGTAACAAGCGTGTGCGATTTTTCTTTGTACCGCATCGACGTGGGTTTTGAGATTGTCTTTAGATGACAATTTTTTTCTAGAAATATTACATGCACGTTTCACAGCATTCCGTGCCGCATCCATTTGCGTCTTGAGATTGCGTTCGTTTTTCAACGTCTTTGTGATGCTTCTCGTTATCCTTCGTTCGGCATATTCGCAGTTGAAATTAAAATTTGTTTCTTCCGTGGTGTCACTATAGCATTTCTGTATCACATCCTCCGCAGCTTCTATTTCAATTGTGTCCAGATCATTATGACTATCGCCATACTTTATGCTCTGCAAGTGATATTCGAAATCATCGTCAATTTTTTTAGCTACTTCGGGCTTGACGTCTTCGCATTCGGCGACTATTTCCACTTCGTCATCAAGTTCACTTTCATAAAGGGTCTGTCGAAAAATAAAAGACATGAGAGAATTATCGTGATGAACAATTAGATGCAATTATCAACACTTACTGAATTTTCTGTCAGAAATGCTAAGAGTTGGAAGTTTTTATGATCGGGTGCCTCGTCGAACGTTTTACAATCACTTTCATTACACACAACACTGGGTTCCTCTTTGATTGTTCCACAAGGAAAATAAAGTATGTCACTGGATTCCATCTTCCTCCCCCGAACAATTCTGATGATATTCCTTTCCTGAAATTTCATCAAACCAACTGAACGCGAAAAAATTGATGAGCTGCTAGGAACGCGGTGTGGTGCGTTCGCTGTATTTTGAGAAACTGCGACTATATGTGAAGAGCGCAAGGTTATGTTCTGACAGCTCTGCGAACGGCGGCACAGCTCGCCGTGTAGTGTCACATCACACATGTCATAGCATTTTCGATTGCTATTCACGATAAAACACCACGGGCAAGGCAACGCGCGGGAAAAGTTACGCGACCTCAACAATAAAAAACCACCTCAGCTCTCAAATATATGTAGTCTTAGAAATCATTTTGTTTCTGCAATTTTTTGGATTAAAATTACACGTTAAAAAGAGGTTACGAAGTTGTCAATGTAAATGAAGCAATAAGCTACGTTTTTGAAATTATCTTGACACGATTTGATCGATATAAGCTTTTTTTATATATCGAAATCGTAATTTTTTTAAAGATATTGCGTGAAAAATTGATTTGGAAGAAAATCTTCGTGGTCGTACAAATATGAAAATCTAATTTTTCGATTGCACTCCACAATCGGTTTTAATATCCTCGACAGAAAAAAGAAAAAGCCCACTCGATCTGGTTGTATTAAGGGCGAAATACTTCTATATGTAAACAATAATATTATTAGCGATTTCCCTATCGTTCCTCGCCACAATGATCATGTTTATAGTAAAAATAAATTAGTTTGAACATTGTCTTTCTCGATGAAACAAGCTATAAAACCAAAAGATCAATTTCACTTATTCAATTTCAGTGGCATTGAATAGAAGGATCCATCTTTAAATTCAGACCATAAAATGGATACAAGTGAAAGTAAATCTGCAGAAGTTGTTTCCAAAAATAATTCAAGTAAACCCGACGTTGTTGTTTCAGAACACAAAAAATACTTTTGTGAAACGTGCCAGGAGGAATTTACACTAGAATCAAGCATGATAACACACCGAGCCACTATTCACAATGCTCAAAAAATTTTTGCATGCGACAAATGCGAAGAAAAATTTGAGTTCCGAAGTCATTTGAGTAGACACCAAGTATCGGTACATATTGGCCGCAACGTCTTTGCATGTGGCAATTGTGAGAAGAAATTTGTGAAAAAATCGAGCTTGCTTACGCACCAAAAATTAGTACACAAAGATCGGGAAGATTTCACATGCAACAAGTGCGAGAAGAAATTTGAGAATAAATCAACTTTACTCAAGCACAAAAAAATATTTCACGAAGTTTTCAAAGATTATTTATGTGAAAAGTGCGCCAAGAGATTTGGAAATAAACCAAGTTTGCTTTTGCATATAAAAAAAGTCCATGAGGGTCGCAAAGATTACGCATGTGATGAGTGTAGGGAAAGATTTAGAAAAAAGGCCGATCTGTTCTTCCACCTAAAGACAATACACGAAATCTTCAAAGATTACTCAGATGACAATTGCGAGAAGAAATTTAAACGTAAAGGAAATTTGCTATCGCACATAACACCAGTCCATGAAAATCGCCAAAATTACGCATGTGACAAGTGTGACAAGAAATTTGGAAAAAAATTCGGTTTGTTCAGGCACCAAAGGACAGTACACGAAGGTCGTAAAGATTACGAATGTGACAAATGTGATAAGAAGTTTGGATGTAAATCAGATTTGTTGAATCACCAACAGACAATCCACGAGGGCCGCAAAGATTATCAATGTTACAAATGCGGGAAGAAATTCGGACTCAAGTGTAATTTGCTCCTTCATCAAAAAACAGTACACGACAGTCGCAAAGATTACGCATGCGTTGAGTGCGGGAACAATTTTGTAAGTAAATCAGATTTGTTAAGACACCAAAGAATAGTTCATGAAGGTCGCAAAGAATACCCGTGTAATAACTGTGAGAAGAAATTTGGATACAAATCGCATTTGCTTTTACACCAAAAGACAGTCCATGAAGGTCGAAAAGATTACTTGTGCGACAAGTGTGAAAAGAAATTTGGAAGAAAAACAGATTTGTTGAGACACCAAAAAACAGTTCACGAAGGTTATAAAGATTACGCATGCGACAAGTGCGATAGGAAATTTGGGGAACGAACCACTTTGATTAAACACCGAAACACAGTCCACGAAGGACGCAAAGATTACCCATGTGACAAATGCGAGAAGAAATTTGGACAAAAATCGAATTTGCTAAGACACCAAAAACAAGTTCATGAATATCGCAAAGATTACCCATGTGACAGATGCGAGAAGAAATTTGGACAGAAATATCATTTGCGTTTGCACCAAAGGACAGTCCATGAAGGTTGGAGAGATTTCACGTGCGAAAAATGCAAAAAGAAATTTAGATCTAACAGGGATTTGTTGACGCACCAACAAGCAGTCCACGAAGGTCGCAAAGATTACGAATGCGATAATTGCGAGAAGAAATTTGGAATTAAATCAAATTTGTTGAGGCACCAAAGGATAATGCACAAAGGTTGCAAAGATCATTCATGCGAATAAGGGCGAGAAAAAAGTTGGAACGAAACCGCATCTGCTTTTGCATTAAAGGACACTTCACAAAGATCATTAAGATTTCACAAGCGAAAAGTGTGAAAGAAAATTTTGACAAAAAGGCCATCTGCTCGTTCACCAACGCAAACTTATATTTGAGTTGCCGATTTCACGATTACATCAATTAGTATTATGCGACGTAACGAAAGTGACGATACGCACACGCGCAAGTTTATCCAAGCAAAAACTTTTCCCTGAATAGTTAGACCCATTATTTTGTACATTATTATATTCACG